TTTTTTAAATTTCCCAGATAGGTTTTTAATGCCGTACATTCTTATTCATGGAATACCACCTAATTGAGCGTTAGCTCATTTTTGACACCAGTGTTGTTCACAAGTCTCTCGTTTTAAACAACTTCAAACGTTGTAAAGGAAATTTGTGGAACCCGGAAACTCTTTACGCAGGAATCCACGAGCATTTGTAAATCTCTTACAAAGTCTCGAGGAGGGGGAAAAAAAGTCTATTGGCCGTTAAATTATATCAATTACAATCCACGGGGGCTCGGGATACGTGGACTCATGTAATAAATCGAATCGATCGGCAACTGTTATCACTGGTAATCTTCGAACGGATGTGCTTTTGCTCAAACACACACGTACACAAACATACAGTCGCTCAGACTGTGAGGATAAACGACATGCCGTCCTATACACTCGAACACCTGCCTGCATCTTCAATTTCTTTTATTTCATCCTTCTGCCGAGGCGCAACCTGGTAAGCCTACATCCTTCGGTTCACAAGCTGTTTCTCGTTATCTAGTATACCCCACGACTAATATAGGATACTTGTATGTGTATGTGTACAAATACTTGTAGCGAAATGCAGTTCTGTGCTGTCCCTTTTTTTTCTCTTGGTGGGGAGTGGTCGTGGTCGATAGGTCTTTACTCGATTTTTTTTTTTTTTTTTTTTTTTTTTTTTTTTTTTCCTGTCTTTATAAACTCTCTTTCTCTACGAGCGTGGGTTTGTGTGCAGTTTATTCAGTTCGATCATTAATAGCTAACATTCCAACTCTTGTGTATACTTACTGCATAAATGTGTCAGCGATACTTTGTTGTTTTGAATTGAAATTTATTTTATGGAACATTACACGGGAAATCAGTGATCAAAATGAGATAAGGATAATTTGGGTTGGGGATGTTGTTACATTAATTGTAATGATTGTGAAAATGATCATTGTACGTGTAGGAAATTGAGTAAATATTCCAGTTGATGCATTGGTACATTACTTATATTGTTTTTTGTTTGCAGTAAACTAAGATTTATACGGTGACATGGTATCTTTTTTTGGTTTGTTCTACATTCGATAAGTCAACAGTTTAATTTGAATTTTTGTTAAGAGAGACAACTACCGTGAAATAGGACAGAGACCTCTGTAAAATCTAAAACAAAACAAATATAAATAAAAATTAACTTCGATTATTGATTGATAGTTTTCTTTCTTACGAAAGATATTATACAGGCAAAAAAAAAAAATTATCGTAGCCGAGTAACTTACACGGCCGCAAGTTTGGAAGTTAATTTTAATGAAGGGACCAGCTTTTAATTGACACGAGATCGAGCAGCGCATCAGCATGAAATTGATTAGAAATTTTGTTTTCGATGAAAAATTGTACCAGCCACAGAAATAGCTATGGTAATGTTTAGTTATTGCATATACTAATGATAAATAGATTTCGAATGTTTTACGGGACAATGATAATAATACGTACATGGACGTGAAAAGTTCGTCATAGTTGTCGAGTAACTTTTGACCGGGCCAACTTACGTAAAACAGATCGCATATGTACCCACTCCAAAATATCATCATATTTATCATATTCAAAGGATTTGTGAGGCTCATCGATAGCTGTAAGTACATCATACATCAGCATCTGCGATATTTATAATAAAATACAAGGAATAAAGTCTTTTGACCAACTATTATACTCCCAGCACTTATGTTCAGCATTGAAGTGCTACAACTGCCAAACAGACTTTGAGCGTAAGAACTTTGGACCAGATCTATGTATCTGTAACATCGATCCATTAACATAATTTGATACTAAAACTATGAATATTTGTTATTGATCAAAGTAATTTATTCCACCAAACGTAACTGTATCGTTTTATCGTGCATCTTCACCGTGTCTACGACATAGTTGTAAACCTGTTCTTCATCCAAATGTTTTCCATTTTTTGATTTTATCTGTGTAACTTTGTATACGCAACTCATGCGGTGTCTGAATTTTATTATGCGTTAGCACAAGTGATATTATTAAAGGATTGAAAAAAAAAAAAAAAAAAAAAAATTAATTTCGTGATGAACATCTTACTTGAGAACATTGATCAGTCCAAGGGCGTGATAAACACTACTGAAATACATATTTTCTATTGTTGTTAAAATCAAAATGGACAAAGTACTGATAACAGCAGTGTAGACAAACAGATATGAATAATATTTTTGTTGGTCAACGTAAAACTCGGTGCGTAAGCACAGATGTTTTGGTCGTGACTCATTTTTCGGTAGTACAATGTCGAGAAAAAATGGTAGCGCTGCTGGTACTGTTACAAATACCATACAATTTATCATCATGTAAACTAAAACAGTTTTAATAACAGGTGAAATGATTTTTTTTTTTTTTTTTTTTTTTAAATAATTAATTAAACGCACTTTTTGATATCAAAATCTTTTTTACCTATGGACACTGTGCTTATTATGCGAGCAAAATTCCACGAACGAAGTAAAATGGCCTCTTCTTCCGCGTCTGTTATTTTATTCCAGTCTTCCGAGATTCTTTTGTATAGACGTAAAAGCTAACATCAACGAAAAATTTTCGTCAACGTGTTATGATTGATTAATGTTATAGCAATAAGTTATATTTGCCATCAAATGAGATGTTTAATAGAATCAAACGATACATTCATGTTTTATCTTTTCTACCTTTTTTTCATTGCGAATATTCGTAACAAATGCATTGCAACTTCCGGAATAATATAGGAAACCACCAAATATCTCAGATAATACTTCTATTTTACAATTTTCCGAGAACCATTCTTTGAGACCTCTTATTACCTGCAAATATGTAAAATATGCTTGTCACAGAACTATTAGGTTTTATGCTACAAAAAAAAAAAAAAAAAACAATGCTTTCAATTTGTTTTGGCTATCAATTGAAAAATTGTTTATCTCAACTGTTTTGCAATACAAAATTCAAAGTTACCTGTGATATTGTTACCCAAATTATAATTACAAGAACACACGTTCGTACGAAAATTTTAAATGATCTCTTTTGATGAGGCCATATTCCAAGAGCCATCAACACTGTTTTATTTAGCATAAAGTAGCGTGTATCGAACGCTTCTTTCGAACCCATTACTTCTATCTTTTCTGAATAACTGTCAGCAATTTGACGAGAAGAGAAAATCTCTCAGTTCATATTTTATGTCCATACATCGATGGGATGCTTTGATTGCTTGTGAATATCGTAATGATGGATGACGTACGTCCACACTTTATAAATATTCTTATGCACTTTGGGGATATAGGTTGCTCGAAAAGCAGTAAAATCTTGTTTTATTATTCATGAAAACGCTTTATCATTATTTTATTTGCTTGGTACGTATATATAAATTGATAAAATTATTAATGTATACGGTACAGGAAGGTTCAATAGGTCGAATAAAGAAGTTTGCCTCGAATAAATTTTTTTTCGTTGGGAAAAAAAGATAGCTAAAAAAAATATTTTTATAACAAATGGCCAAAAGATTATATTGTTGTTTCCCGTGACTTTCAGTTGATTAGAGGCAAAAAGGCCTATACATATATTAACCGTATCAGAAATTACTATAGATTCCTTAATAAGAGTTTATACGAGGACAAAATCGTTGAATCAAATACTAGTGAATGTACAAAGAAACCCGATACAGTAGAACATGAAAATTCTGGTTTTGTGAACTATATACACGAAAATCAAAGAAAAATCATAATTGAAAAATTAAACAAGTTACACCTGTACATAGTACTTTCTCGATACTATCATTGTTATTAACTGATATAAATAATAACACAATCAATATCATTTCAGAATTAATTACAAGCATTGACACAAATTTAAGGTAATGTTCATTGAAAAACATATTATTTATTGGAATATCATTAATAACATTGCACATAGCTCACATTGAATTTTATTTTGATTTAATGTGAATTTGATTCAGTTACCCGATACACTGTCGTTAGGTATATTCAATCTTCTGTTATCTGGATGTGTGAAAACTCTTTTAAAACCAATACACCTGCATTATTATACTATACGGATACTACTCTGTCGGAGATTATAGCCCCTGAGAATAGAAACGAAGGGTTACGTACAGATTTTCGCTTGAAAGTAAGAGAAGATGCAATGTGATTTTTCATTTTTATGGTACAAGCGCATCACTTTTATATCATTCGATTTATTTGAACTTTTATCACAATGGTACATAATTTGGGGGAAAAATCGATATACGCGTTTTTGCACAATCAGCCATTTGCTCTCCCATGAATATACAAGGCCATACCTAAGATTGAGCGAACAATCAAGTTGAAAAAAAAAGCCAAAGCCTCATTTAGTAATGATCCCCACGATCACGCCAATCGCATCATAACGAAAATTTTCCTTATCGATCTGTTCCCTCGCCCTCCCCAAGTATCAGCCTCTTCGTTTGGCGATGAAAAAAAATACCAGCCTCATCCTCCCCGCCCTCCTTCATTTTCCCTGATGGCTTATCGTAATGTACCCAATGCCAACTTGTCATTTACATTTTCGCAAGCCAGCGCGCGCAGGGAGTGGCCCGACCCCCATGTATATAATAAACGATCGCTGGCCGCACGCGTTAACCGCGGCTGATGTACAAGTGTACGGGACCGCCTCTCCTTGGACGCTCCTGCCGGGGAGAGAAAAAATGTACCTATTCCGGGATGGGAGAGAGGATTAATGGGAGCGAGTGTGTATACCCACACAGAGTCCCCTTCAACCCTGAGAAATTCGCGGCGCGTGCAACAGGTGGGTTGTTGCGCGATCGGGGAAATAAACCCTGCGTGTATGCCCATCGGTGGGAGTTGGGCCTACTTCTATTAAAGTCGGGTCTCTTTGTGTTCTCCCTCCCCTCCCTACCTCCCTCTATTTTCCTGCAGGCGATATCGAACGAGAGAGAAAAATGCCCCCAAGATCGGCAAGGAAGATTGGGGTAATTAAGGAGGCGCGAGTCAAGCTGATGCCTTTTCTTTCTCCCTCGTGCCACCATCTCGCGACTGTACGCCAACAGAGAGAGCGAGAGAGAGAGAGAGAGAGAGAAAGGTGGCCGTGCAGTATGTGGAGTTTGTGTTGCGGTAGCTGTACCGAGGAATTGGGTTTTCTTGGGGCACTGGCGTGGGCGAGCACATACACGTGTATAGGTACGTGAAGCGAGCGCGGATCGGTATTCGGAAAATGCGGCCTCGATAGGTACTGTGTAGGTGTACGTCTCAGAGTCTGTATTGTCCTTTTATTTTATTGTATCACGCTTTGCAGGAGGCTACATTTGGTGCTACCTCTACTGTCGAGATGGTAAATGTTTTTTTATAAATAAATTGAATACGTCACGAGGGCAATTAAGGCATTCATACTCGGTATGTGATATGTAATTGATCGACCTACGTGGTCGAATGAACTTGATTTTTTTTTTTTTTTTTTTTGCCTAATTGACCCGGTACAGGATGAAGTTCTTTCAAACAATGAAACAGTAATTGAGTGTGTACACGGTGTATGAATGATTATAAATTGCAGCACTCATCGCCAACTTTAGTTTTATTATTTCACAAAATTTAATCTCCCGCGTTAACGCGGCTCCGTGACATTAGCGACATTCCTGAGTCTTTGACGTGGTTATTAAAGCGACATTTTCACTCGCACAGTGTATACTTACACTGTCATCTAGCGAGTTAAGAGTTACGAACGAAGGAGAGCGTTTGGTTGTTTCGTTGCTCGTAGTGTAAAGAAGAAAATCCCAAATAATCCCTGTCTGAATGTAAGATTAATTAATAGTGATCTACAATTTACGTCTACGCAAATTAGAAAAAAAAACACCCACACAAACATATACCAATGTTTGTTGTGAATTAGTTATTGGTTTGTGGTTTAACGTCACAATAATAGTAAAATACGAGATATTAAAAGAGGAGTCAAACACAATATAATATTGTAGTTTTATTGTCTTTGGATCATTTTAATAGGATTTTATGTGTCCTTCACCGTAAATACTCAAACAAAAATGATAGGAGGATCGATGTCTTATAACGTACTCGAATATTAAGAATCGTAATTTTAAAAAACTACCCAAAAAATCGGATATGACAACACGTGCTTTTATTATAAGTACTCAGACTTGGGTATGGTTATTTTTTTAAATATTTTTAAACATTAAAAAAAAATTTTTTTTTAGTAAAGTTTACGTTTCTGCTGAAATGATTTTTTAATTACCAGTATTCACAATACAAAAAAAAATTTTTTTTTCTTAGATAAGTGCAATATATTTAATACATAACAGTTTGTTGTAAAGTATTTAAAATCAAACATTTATGTACTGTTTCAAATACTTATACTCTTTTTTTTACTAACTGTTTTTTTATTGATACTGTGATTCATTGTCATTGCTGGAAAAAATTTTGTTGTGTACTTAAAATAATTAATTTTTCTTTTTTTTGGACNTCGTTTTTTTTTTTTTAAACGGATCTCGTATATATTCGCAGTACAAAGTTACCGACACAAGCCTTTACACCAAACGCTCTAATTAAACCTATTTCCCAACCACGAACATGAAAGAAAAAAAAAAAAAAAAAAAAAGAAAAAAAAAACTGCGATAATCACGAAAACACCACTACCAAAAATAAAAATAAAAAATATACATATATATAAAAACTCGTTGTAAAAGACTAAAGTTCAACCATTTGCTTACAGGTCTCAGTAAAAGTCCATAAACGTCCCATCAACAATGGCCAAGTAAACATACTGACCCTTTGGGGTGGCAAAAAAGAGAATCCAGAGTCGCCAACCGAAAAAATAGTACAAAACCACGAGCACACCAAAAAAAAAAAAAAAACGCGATAAAAAAGAGTTCTCGGGTGCAACGCCCTAGGACTCGTCGCATCTACCTTGGCGATGCTGTGTGCATAGAATAAAAGTTGAAAAAAAAAAAAAAAAAAAATGGCCACACCAGAACCCCTTGACGTACCAAACGGCCTGGCCGACGAGTTCGTGACGGTCGTGAACGTCCAGCCGACGACAGCGACGAGCTCGGCCGAGAGTTTCGTCACCGTGTTGTCGATCGGCGCGGGAAAACGAGGGGCACCGAGCGACGACAAAACACAGCCGGCGAGCAACGGAGTCGACCCCGCGCATCCCGAGGAGGAGGTCGACATTTACAGGCTGCCCGGGGAACGGCTTGGCTTCGGCTTGAAATTCGAGGGTGGGAACAAAACGTCCGAGCGCGTGAGGAGACTGTTTGTGCAGAGCTGCGCCGAGCAGAGCCCCGCGAGTAGGGCCAAGTGCTCCTGGGGTCATCTCGGCGAGGGCGACGAGGTAGGCCTTTTTTATTTTATTTTCTTAACTGATTATATCGACAATGATCTTATACTTTACACGTTCGGCTACTGAAATTTTTAACGAGTAGAGTTTTTTATATTTACCCATAAATAACGGGAACACTTGTTTTGTTTGAAAAGTTTTTTAAGCGTCTTGCATGACCAGATTTTTTTTTTTTTTTTTTTCATCATACGAGGGATTATTTTTAAAAACTTACATTATTTTTATAAACGAAAAGTATTTAACCATCCAACGAAATTAGTCTTATCGTAAAACTGTCACATGATTATTAATACAATTTTTAACATCTAGAGGTATATAGTTTGAGTCTAGACAATTTCGGAAAAAAAAGTCCAAAGTAATTACAATCTGCTCGCATTCGATGAAACTTATAACGAAAGATAATATACTCTTTCCTTGTAATTTGAGTATAATATTATCTCCAAAAATTATACTCACTACACCTTACACATGAATTTTGCTTGAATGGCACTTCCCTTATAGATCATGTTAAAATAGCGACAAACCTTGATGTAGGAAAAATTTCTGATATGGACACACGTGGTATTATTCCGAAAGTTGCAGCTCAAATAACCTTACATTGAGAGTACAGTGTAGCACAGAGGTTGCAATTTTAAAATAATTTAAGCCCCAACCTTCACCCAAAGCCCTAATCCGATGTCCCACTTAAACCTGTGCACAGGCTCTCTCAATAATCCCAACAACCTCGCTCCCCATGAATCACGAGGTATATACATATATCATGTGTTGTTTATCTACCGATCAAATCTGACGATACGCGCACACGTGTGGGCACAGGTGCTGTCCATCGATGGCGTGGCGGTGACGGAAATGACGCGGCTGGACTGCGTGCGCCGACTCAAGGAGTCGCAACTCGTCATAAAACTCCTGGTGCGCTACAGGGGCGCCCTGAGGCCCGAAGTCGTCAGTGCCGAGCGCAAACACGATCAACACCAGCAACGCAGCAAAATACCACCCGAGTTGCCCGCGGCACCGCCACCCGTGCCACCCAGAAAGTCGAGGCATTCGACGCAGTCGGCTAATCGAGGACCTGCGGATGGAGAGGCTAGCCCAGGTACACCGAATTTTTTTTTTTTTTTTTTTTTTTAAATAATTAATTAAACGCACTTTTTGATATCAAAATCTTTTTTACCTATGGACACTGTGCTTATTATGCGAGCANCCGCGGCACCGCCACCCGTGCCACCCAGAAAGTCGAGGCATTCGACGCAGTCGGCTAATCGAGGACCTGCGGATGGAGAGGCTAGCCCAGGTACACCGAATTTTTTTTTTTTTTTTCTTGGTTGGCGATGAGCGTTGGGGCGTAGAAAAGAGACTGATTTTCATCAGCTGGATATCATGGGAAACAAGTGCGGTTTTTTTCTTTCGTAGGCATTAGTAACATTTTATTGTTTAAGTCGCACTTGCATTTACAGGTGTAATTAGTCAGTTGCAAATAAGTAATATGACAGTCTGAAGGTTTTTCAAAATAATATTACATTTGTTATCTGGTTCTTTTTCTTTATTTTAATTTTTATAATAAATAACACCAAAAATAAGGTGTACGCCCGATGGATTTAATATATCGTTCAAATTTTACGCCGTTAAAAAATATTAAAAGATATCGATATAAGTTTCAAAGCAATACGTCTTAATGACTTATATGATGTCGTCAAACATTTTTTAGCTGTTAGGAGTAACTTTGATATCCAGGCGAGTATTAAAAAAAAATTTCATCTCAATCAATGAAAATATTTTTTAATTTTTTGTGCTGACGTTGTCAAATATGCGAGACGTAAAGCACGTCTTGTGTACATAGTTCTACACGAAACCAAATTAAATTTCGATAATCTTCGGTATGCTCCAAGTGCTCATTATACCTATAGATGTAAAAAACAAAAGCTCTGCACGTATTATTTGGTTTGATCAATTGTTTGCATAACCTACCAATTGAAAGTCAGTTATACAATCTCGTAGTATAGAAAACAATTTTTACTTTAATTTATTAAAAGTTTGTTTATATTGGACATAAACTAAAGACTACAACTACGATTTACAGGAGGCAAAAAACCCTGGGACAGCCCAAAATCGGCAGGATCGTCGCAAAATGGATCACCACAGTCGCAAGGCAGTTATCGAAGCGCAGCCAGTAGCGGCACCAGGTCCAGCACTTACGAGAGTTGCGCGTCGTCTCCGGCAAAAAGCATTCCTGGATCGAAAAACGAGAGCCCGAAAGCCCACGTGTCTCCGGTGCTCAGTAAAACAAAACAGGTTACTCAGATTTTACATTTTTTCGACAGTTTTTTAAATTTTTATTCTTTTTCCAATTATGTTTTATTCCAAGCGATTTTTACTCGTGACTTATCAGTCCAGAGATAACAGTTGTATGGATCGGTTTCAATGATTTAATTTCGGGATTCTAATGGTTGTTCGTGTTTTATTTAAAACTACGAATTTAGTTAAAAACTAACGTTTATACCCCAGCTTATGAATTGACAAAAAAAAAAAAAAATATTTTTTAAACTTAACTTGAAAAATTCTGAAAATTCACAACGTAAAACCCGAGGAATTTTCTTCATATTCTTATACGTAGTAGTTTTTTTCGTTTTTTTTTTTTTAAACGGATCTCGTATATATTCGCAGTACAAAGTTACCGACACAAGCCTTTACACCAAACGCTCTAATTAAACCTATTTCCCAACCACGAACATGAAAGAAAAAAAAAAAAAAAAAAAGAAAAAAAAAACTGCGATAATCACGAAAACACCACTACCGAAAGGATTCCCCAAGACCCGGCATCACGCCTCTGTAAGTAATTGCGTCACCCCGTGTAATAGTAATCTCCGCCTCCACGGGTCTAATTGCGCTGCCCTGTATATACATAAACTACGGCGATAATAACCAACATTCTAAAACGAAATTCCAGGAGCCACCAGCCGAGGCGCAATGGTACCTAGACGCTCGCTCTCAGGACGGCTCGAGCACCCACGGCAGCACGTCCGACGACACGAGTAGCAGCCTATCCACCGTGGTCGATCGCTTCTCGAGCTCGGACCGTTTCTCCACAACCTCGACCGCCTCGACAACCTCCGAGCAGCAGCTCTACCACCCGGCAGACATCGCACCGGACCTCCTCGACGATGCTCTACTGACCCCGGCGACAACAGCGCCATCTGTCGCGACGACAAATGGCTGCTGCAGCGACTTGAGCAGCCCGGACTTTTTGCTCGCGCGTCTAGCCAACTCGGAGGCTCGGACGCACGTGGAGTCGCGGGGCGACGTCGAGCGTGTGACCACAGTCGTCGCCCCGAACACGGTGCTGATCGAGGAGACCCCGGCGCTGCAGCCGCCCCTCTGCTTCCAGGACGCGCCGCTGAGCTACGGGCACGAGCCAAGGCCCGGGATCTTTTACACGGCCGACCTGGCCGCCGACTCTAGGACCCACTTCCGACCCATCAAGGACGACGCCGAGATGGTGGAGAAGGTCGTTAACGGGGACAGGGTGGCGCCACCTCTGCCGGCCAGAAACCACGTCAACCGGATACCCGTCAATCAACAGATGAAACAACCGACCAATGGTGAAGAACGAAAAGAGGAGGAGGTGGAGGAGACAAAAACGAGTCCGCAGCTACCGCCCAAGCCGATGCCAAGAAAGGACGTCAAGGCCAAAAGAAAGAGGCCTCCACCGCCACCGCCACCACCTAGGCGAGAAAATCCACCGCCTGTGCCCGAGGCGCGACATTTCGACAGTTGTGGTGGTACTAAGAAGGTGGAGATGGTTAAAACCGACAGCGAAGCGGGAGAGGAAAATACCAGTCGGTTGAGCGTCGAGGTCGTCGTTGAAGATCGACAAAGGGACGAAGAGGTGGAAGCGGAGGGGACGCCGAAGACGAACAAGGTGCTGGAGATCGTGGAGATGAGGAAGGCAATAGCCCTACCGCCGCAGAAGGCGCCCTCGAGGACCTCGGTTGCGGACGAGGTGCCTGAAGGAAGGGACGGTGCTTCTACAAGCCAAGGGGTTGAAGAAGGCAATGTTCATGGAGTTGAGGAGATAAGTGCCTGTCAGAGGGCGCTGCTGGAGATGCACGTGGTTAACACTGTGTCGATAGACGTGGAAGATTCGGAGGATGGTGATGGTGGGACGGAAGGATTTGAAGAGAAGAATGGGAAGAAATGGGAGGTGGAGACGGAGGACGAGGTGGTGCAGGTGGTGGATGAGGAGGAGACGAGTGGTTTTAGGGAAAAGAGGATGGAGGACGTCCAGGACATCGTTCAGTTGAATACGGTGGAAAATGTGCGGCTGTTGGACGCAATTAGGGATGGGGCCAAGGAGTCGATGGACGAGGGCGAGATCTCCGACGAGAGCGATGGCGAGGATTACTACTGGCAGAGCAATTTGGCTACCATCGGAGAGGAAGAGGAGAACAATTCTTTGGAATACGACGAAGCGTACGTTTGTAGATGTTTTTTTTTATTTTTTTAATTTTTTTTTTTTAGGGAGTTTGGATATTATGGGGGGTTGAGTTATGGGTTTTTGAACCTGAAATCGGAAGATTTAAGGCTGGATAAAACACTGAATCCTTTATGGTAAAACGTTGGAATTTGTGAATTCGTATTTTTTATTTGTTGTAAAGATTTGATTACTTGTTTAAAAATGAAGTTGAATTGTCAATGTCGACGACCAATGAATCTTTTGTACGTTATCAGATTTATTGTATAATTTTACTGTAAAACTGGACGAGAGTATTGGTTAATATTTCGTATGATTAAAACGAGAGTGTGGACATTTTTCAAGAAATATTACTGAAAACGGTGATCGTGTGTTCGACTCGCTGAGCTTATGAAGCCTTATTAGCAAAATATCAAAAGTAAAGTAGAATTTTCACATTATTTTTATTCATTTTCATAGTTGGTAATCTTGTTTGGATGTTTTGCTATTTTGCCAAGAAAATTAATATTTTTGTATGTTTGTACGTTATCTCAAGGCTCAGTCGTCCAATTTTAATGATTTGAAGCTTAAATTTTTTTTCTTTATAATCGCTTATAACGAATTGTTAATTTTTTTTTTATTATTTAAGTACTGTATGTTTTTTTAGATGGATATGTAAAATATTTTTTTTAATGATATTTTAATGACTATTCTTACAATATTTCTAAGATTATATCGTCACCTTTACGTACATATTAATTAGTGAAGAAAAAAGTTTTTTGTCATCAGTAAATTTAAATTCTACATGACTTATAAAATTAAAAAAATAACTCTTGTGTTTTACCAGGTGATTTAAAAAATTTTTTAAAATCATTTTAATATTTAAATAAGGATGGAATTGATTCAAAAAATTTTGAATGACCAAAAAGTTGTTTATTATATCATGTAAGTGCATCGAGAACAGAAAAATAATTATAATTACTTTAAGTAAAAAGCAGAACAGTTTTATAAATAATCTTTATTGATTTTTGAAACAGTGCATTACGAGTTAACAGTGAGTTGAAAAGTACGAGATATCTATTTAAGAAAAATTGCCAATAATAAAAGACTTATCTGGATGTAATCAGGTTTTTAGTTGTTTTATAGCATAGAGATGTATTATCGATAAGATGAAAGTACGTAAGAAAATTAATTTTGAGAATTAAATGAAAAGTAAAAGAATTTTTCAAAAAATGGTTTGTGCAAGCTTACGCCAATGAAGGGAATAAATTAGTTTAAAATAAAACTAAATTAAAAAAAAAAATCTAAAAAACATACAAATTTTTTGCAAACATGATTCTACATATTTAAAAAACGTAAAATCTTTTACGCATTTTCTGTTAGACAACATTTATTCTGTTGAACAAAATCATATATACATCAAAANAATGACCAAAAAGTTGTTTATTATATCATGTAAGTGCATCGAGAACAGAAAAATAATTATAATTACTTTAAGTAAAAAGCAGAACAGTTTTATAAATAATCTTTATTGATTTTTGAAACAGTGCATTACGAGTTAACAGTGAGTTGAAAAGTACGAGATATCTATTTAAGAAAAATTGCCAATAATAAAAGACTTATCTGGATGTAATCAGGTTTTTAGTTGTTTTATAGCATAGAGATGTATTATCGATAAGATGAAAGTACGTAAGAAAATTAATTTTGAGAATTAAATGAAAAGTAAAAGAATTTTTCAAAAAATGGTTTGTGCAAGCTTACGCCAATGAAGGGAATAAATTAGTTTAAAATAAAACTAAATTAAAAAAAAAAATCTAAAAAACATACAAATTTTTTGCAAACATGATTCTACATATTTAAAAAACGTAAAATCTTTTACGCATTTTCTGTTAGACAACATTTATTCTGTTGAACAAAATCATATATACATCAAAAGAGTTTATACATGCTTTTCAATTACTACATGAAACAATGTAAAATATACAAATGTATATTCTCTTAGGTATTTGAAAATGCAAAATTGTTTATCAAAGTATTTGAAATAGAGAAAATTGTAAAAACCATTTTGTTTTATAGCATAGTGAATAAAGTAAAGTCTAGCAGTTAGTCTCTAGTTGGCAGAAACATTTTAATGTTTAGCAAAACAAAGTGAAATATTGTTTAAAAAGATGTACAATAATTCGTAGTAAAGATTATTGAAATCTGTTTTGATAATATTTGAATTAATGACTTTGTTTTAAAAATTTCATCAAAATTAAAATGTAAAAGCCGACAAAAAATATTTTCAATTATAAAAGTATTTCATTATTTTACGTAAAAGTGTAATCGATACATTCGTATTTGAAGTGTTTTATCCACGCTCAGTTTAATAAATTTCAATTGTAACGAATCTTTTGCTGTCATAACGTTTTAAAGATTAAGAATGAAAATTTGTTTTATATTTTTTAATATTAATTTAAATAGAGCTACGTACTATAACTACATTTTTCAGTACAACTGATAACTATTAAGTACTAAAATAATTATCAACGATTGTTATGGCAACAAAAAATGATGCGTTTCAAAAGCGTTAAGTCAAATTAAAGACTTTAATTTTTTCCAACACGTTCAAAGAGAAACACTAACGATAAATTTTTCTTTAGCCTGACACATTTTCCAGATTTCAGAAACGTTTATTTGAATGCATACAAAAAAATATTTGTTTAAACAAAATAAATATTTACTTGAATCTATTAAATATTATGTTACAAGAAAATCATTTTTATTTGATTTGAATAAATATTTATTTTATTTAGATAGATATTTTTTATTTGTATTCAAATAAACGCTTATTATGATTGACCTAATTTTTTTTTTAGTATTAGTTGTGATAGTGAAAGTAGATATAGTTGACCTTAATCATATTTTTATTAAATATTTCCTAAAGATACGTGTTATAGGTGAATAAACTGATAAAATGATTCTTTATTTTTTTCAGCAATGAAATCTCTGTTCCTCCAGTAACGAAGCCACTCGAGAAGCCGCAGATCATAGAAGACATCGTCGAAACGGCCTTGCCAGCGTTGTCGGACAAAATTGGTAAGTTTTGTTTAATTAAGATTATTTTCACAGCAAAAGGAAACATAATAACCGTGCTTATAAATAACAATTTAAAAAAGAAGCTTTTTTCCACACCATTGCAATTATAAGCCAACCACACCAACAATTATGAACTTCAACCGGGGTAGGTTGCGATTCACAATTTATTGTTCATTCTCGAGACAGAAAAACTCTGTTACTCCAATAGCACCACAACAGTACTCCCATTCTTAAATCTTACCTCCAAAGAGAGAAAATAAAATATCCACCAGCCTACAATGGATGGTCCTCCAACAACAAGGCAAAGACTCTCAAAGAACCTAATGTGCATTAAGCCGTGGCACGCCAAATAGAGTGCCTATGTAGCATGTATGAGATGAAGGAAAAAACCGCGGAAACAAACGGCTCGAGCACACGCCTATTATTATTACCTGACCCCTCGCGCCTCTCGACTCCTCTTTTGAGAAAAAAAAAAAAAAAGGCGAATCATTGTACCACCCATACGAAAGCGAAAAAATAGTGCTGATACAAGTGCGGAAAGGGTATTTCGATGAAAAAAAAAAAAAAAAAAAAAAAGGTTACGCACAAGGGACTATTATGATAAACGCTCGATTAATCCACTGGGCTGAATTAAAGGCTAGCTACATAGAGAGAGCAAGCGATCAATTATCGGGACACCTATATCCCCCTGACGCGCGAACGAGTTCATAGACGTCACGTGCATGTGTAGTTTGTATATTATAATGCACGCCCACGTGTAAGCGCCACAAAGCTTACGCATTAATCATCACACCTGGGCGCCCCCTCGCGTCACCCGAGCGCACCTATATAACGTCCATTATTTATTTTTCCATCGTCCTTATTCGTTGTCAGCTCTATCGTGTGGTCCAATGTTCTTGTATGCATTGCTACACTCGTCTATTTGCTATATACGAGGTATTTTATTCGATGTGAGTTGGTTTGTAATGACGATGAAAGCGTCCTTTTAAATTGTGTTGGTCGGAGATTATTGATGGTGCAAGGAAGGGCTCTTTGGCGTTTTTAAATAAAAATTTTTTTAGAAAGGTTTAACTAACCATGTGTGTGGCACTAAGGTTTCACAGGACTGGGTGACAGTTTTTCTTTATGTTTTGAAGATCAATGAAAAACATACAAACAAATTATTAAAGTATGATTACATTAATAAACCAATGGGTAGACAACAATTTACTATCGTACGCATGACTCACAAAAGCAGAGGTTACAAAATTATTTTACTATACAACATTCACCGTAAGAGACCCCCGCTGTCGTCAGTAATGCGATGGGAAAAATTGTTTTCATTATACGCTTTAATTTATTGAAAAAAAGGATATTTTTGTAAACTTTTATTTCATATTACTAATTTTCAACATTTTAAATCATTTAAACACAACAATCTACAGTATCATTGATTTTTAACCAAAAATAGTTCGTAGTCTGTGAAGATAAGTAGAAACAGACGAGTAAGGTAAGACGCGCCCTTGACGGGCGGGGGAATCCAAAATCCCCAACTTGATCTATACTTGAAACTTGTAATTTTCAATTTACTGCAATGGCATCCGTAATAAACAATTAAACGCTAAACAAACTGAGTAGAACAAAAGTATTTGATGATAATACGCGAGATTCCATCGAGCGAAAGCTTCGTGAGAAACTGTACCTACTAGCGTACCCTAAAATTTTTCCATGCTCCATTCGATACCAAAATCGTATGAAACACAGAATTTTTGTATAATGATATACATTTTGAAAGGCAAAAATAAGCAAAAAAAAAAAAAAAACTTCCCGCACGACCCGTTCACTTTGAAAAATCTCGACACCGTGCATTATAACCCATACAGGTGTGTAGTTACAACGAAACATTTCACTTTTACGAGAAATTGATAGATATCCCCTCGATCGCTATCGATACACGCAAAGATAATGTTAACCGTAATGATTACATTCGCGGGAAGTATCAATCGTATACGTTATACCGTGAGGCTTGGGTGTATTGTTCACCGGCGCAAAAAACACTCGCTCGAAAGTAGGGAAGAACACGAGACACAATAACACTTAAAATCGAATAAAAGCGTGAGAATCGAGTTATAATTTTACGCGCGCGTTTATACAACGTGCCGGTTATCGCGTAATTTGTGTGCACGTATAAATTTAACGCGCGCAGAGATACACGCAATGTATAAATTCTCCTCGAAACATATTCGTGAAAATAACACACAAGTTGTGTATAGTTGAATTCAGCGCTCGCGGGAAATTTGTATTATTACGTGACTTTCTTTTTCGAGCGCTAGAGAGAGAGAGAGAGAGAGAGAGAGAGAGAGCGTAGGAGCGATGTATGCACACCATGTGTAGTATGTAACACACTTTGGATTCATTCAAAGGTACAAAGCTCTCGCCACACTCTAAATCACCGCTAATTAAAACCATCTCCTTTCTCCACCAAGACAATGTTATTCGCGCTCTCTGGATCATTCAATTATCCCTTAACAAGGCGATCTCTCACCGCAACACGTTGTGCGCGCATGACGCGTACGTGGACGACAAAAAAAAATGGCATAAGCATATAGAGAGTGACGTGTATTTCGCGTGGGTGTTTTATACGTTGTTCGAGGGGAAAGAAGGCTGGCGATGAAACTGGCACGACTTTTTGCGAAAACGCGGTCGCGCACGCGTGCGTGTACATGAGTAGTTTCTTCCGCAATGAGTATGATAGACACAGCGGATTTGTTTTTCCTCTGCAGTTTAATTTATTGTTGTTTGTTTGTTTGTTTGTTTGTTTTTTTTTTTTTTTTTTTTTTTTTTTATTGAAAAAATGCGGTTGAAAAATTTTGCGTAAGAAATCGACACACGATTACTGAAAATACGATGGCTCAATTAAGTAGTATGGCAGTCAATTTTGTTTCAATATTAACAAATTTAATGGATAGTTTTTATATTTATTACGTTAAAAGTTGTAAAAGAGATACATTTTACCATTAATCTTGTGCATGTGGAAAGTATTGAAGTTTTTTCAGTAGTCGATGCCATGTAAACTACTGTGCTTCAGACAGTCTTACCAAATACGGATTGTTCTACTGAAAACGATGAAATTGAAAAAAAAAAAGGTAAAAAATAATTCGCTCGATGAATCAAAGTTTGACATTCGATTTCATGGCAAAAGTAAATAAATCAGCCCCAAATACGCAATATAAAATGCTTCCATCATGAAAATACATGCAATTCCATCGTTTTTAATCAAAAATGAGTGGTGACTCATCGGTGAATAGCTTTGGTATTCACGCTCAATATAGGAAACTTTTTTGAAAAATTTTTTCGATATCTGTAAACTGTACAGCTTAAAGTTGTCCCTCAAAACACCATACCTGTGTGGTAGTCAGCAAAACACAAAAAAACGAAATGATCCACCCCAACAGTGAACAATGACATGTAATAAACAAAAACAAAAAAAAAAACACACCTCGTTTTTTCGTCCCTTCGCCCTGAAAGCTAATGTACACTCGTACAAATTATATTATGCCCGGGCAGCAGCAGCCACTCGGCTCTATATTCTCACGCAAGTTTTTCTTGATTGATTATATCCCTGCCCGCGCATCTGCGCCTCTGATTACATTTCAAAGTACAACTCGGCTGAATAATCGCGGACGAGCGGAGATCAAGTGCCATTAGTACGGTACACTCGGAAATAACACCACCACCATCGCGCACAATGTTATATATATATTTTATGGCGTATAGTTTTGGAATAATAAATTACGCTCCGTGCACTTTATATACCTGTATACTCGCGAAACACGAAACGTGTATAACACGTGTGATGTAATTGATAAAATCGTCTGCCTCGACTGACACTGGGGGTGCATCTACTTCTTTCACCAGCGCACATTATCGTTAATCAAACATTTTTCATTTTCCGCACATTGATTTTTGCTGAAAAATTCGTTATTTCGCCTTGTATTGTTATGGTATGCAAAACGAGTAGGTATACATGTGTAAACAATGAGTCGAATAAGCTCGTTTGTACGCAATAGGGACAGGAACTGCGGAATTAAGATCCATTGTAAAATGAGTGCCGGACATTAATCAAACCACGACAGAAAGAAAAGCCACAAGTGGGCGAGGGATACATCTACATCGAGCGCGAGACATCACCACACTCCTATACAATAGTATGTATGACGTTAAGGTGCGATCGAGTGTTATCTCATAGGCCTCGCGCTTTACGTCAACTATGTAAAGGTACATGTATGAGTATCGGAGAGCTATACGATGGCTGTACAACAACCGCAAATGAGTAGTTTATACATACGTATACGTGGGTGTGAGAAAAAAAGGCCCGGCCTTATTTTGCTACCTTTTGCTTGGTATGGCTTATTGCGACGATCAGAGAGAAAGGAAAATTACCGAGAGAGGAATGAACTTTTCCGTGTGTCAAATGAAACATGTAAATAGATATCGAGCTGGTGGATATATAATGTACATGCATGTTAAGTAGTGCGTTTGCGGTTTTACGAGCGTCAACGGGTTGCATATGATGCACGAAAAGCTGCAGTTGACAGAAACATCGAGAGAGAGGGAATATGGATGCGCTTGTATGTGCAGGGGGAGGGAAGGGAGAAAAAGTTGACGAGGAGGGAAGTAGTCGGGCGGAAAGTATAAAGTTAAGCTTGTTGTTGTTTGGTTTTCCTGGATCCTCCTTTGTCGGCTCGCCGGGGCTATTTTTTCCCGAGAGTCACGCCGAGGGAGACGTTAATGGATATTTGTGCGAAGGTCGTGAGGTGATCGTTGGCGCATGAAGAAGAGGGAGGCCTACGAGCGCGCGCGCATTGATATAGCCTTTTTTTTTCTTTTTTCTTTTTTCTTTTCTTTATCGCTCCATTGAGACTCGATTATCTCTTTCCTTCTCGAAGGGATGTTTTGTTACGAGAGTCGTACTTTTTTTTTTGTTCCTCTCTTCGTTGAACTGAACTCGCGTTTGTTTT